GAAAGTACATTTAGAATAATTGGCGAATTGAATCTTGCACCTGCAAACGTTCGTACGGCAAAATTCTCTAAGGTATTTGATTGGAAGATGATAATTTGCTTTTACTTACGGTTCTGCGGGCACGGCGGCAGAAACGACGTACGTCCCACCATCATCTTCATTTATTTCTCTTGTTGCACGAATGCGGTGATCGCATTGTACGTCGATATTAAGATCCTTACATTCTCGAGTTCCTAAAAATAAAAAAAATATATAAAAAAAATTAGAAAATTAATACAGTATAATTGCAAGTGCAATAATTTCGTTGTAAACTGATCTTACCTTCATAAGAATAGGAACAGAAATTCCAATCTCGATTCAACGAGTTTACAGCGTTTCGAACTTTCTGCTTGAGTACACCTTGGCCGGCTTCATTGCAAAGCACCGATGTGGGGAAATTCATTTTAATCCTGAAGACTCTTTGGGCTGGAATAGCGTCTGGAATAAAAGCGTACGTTAATTAATCTAGAAAATAAGATCGTAAAAAATTAAAAGTGAAGAAATGTGAACAAATGTTTACTTGTACAAGCTGGATACACCAGAGGTAGACTAGGATTACTAGTAGGTCTCCAGAAACCTTCCGCACCGCATGTATAGAACTTGGGGACCTCCTGTGAGAATCGAAGTCCGGTGTTGCACGAGATCTCGCAGACTTTGAATTGACCTCCCGAACCCCAGTCCTTGCATTGTTGCGTGCCACCGATAGGATCTTCTAGTAACGGGCAAAATTCCGCTGCAACGAAAAGAAAGCCGTTTAAGCCATGATAATTCACAATGCGAAAGGTTTAAAAAAGAAGTATCAATTTTTTTAAATAAACTTTAGCTATTATCAAGGTTCATTGAATAAATATGTTTGAAAAAATTGTTTGAAAAAATTTTTATATTTACTTACATAACACGTAAACCTTGAAGTTGCAAGTAGCCGAGTTTCCGGCCAGATCATAAGCCACGTAGCTGATATCGTAAGTTCCCCACAGCAGAGTCTGCCCGGATCGATGTCCATTCTTTTCCTGGATCCTGACGACGCCGACGTTGTCGCTGAAATGCGGCTCGTCCCAGGTAACGATCGACGATCCGTTCTTCGCGATCACCCAAAGATCGCCTGGACAGTGCTCCACTTTGGGCGGGATTTTGTCAGCCTCGAGTTGCTGACACTTGTTGCCACCATAACCGGGCGGACACACTCTCTGACCGCAATGCGACGGCACGACTCTCTCGACGCCGCCCACAGTTTCGTCGTATCCTGCCCATGTCAACACCAGACCCTGATAGAGAACTGGCTCCGTGCGGCAGTCGCGGACTTGCTTCTGAATCTCGTTTGTCACGTGCAACGCACGGCCCCAGACTTGTACTTTGGTCAGATGGCCTTGGAAGCCCGATTCCGTGTAACCTTTCGTGTTCTCACTCTGTGGTTTACCCAATACCGCCCATGCGCTGAAAAATTTTAAATTACCAATGAACATTAATTTTTAATTATTATCTCGGCGGCATCTTGGAAAGGAATCATTCGGAGAAGGATTAAGGAAAATGTCTCTCATGATCTTTTTATGTCTCTTTCGAAAGAGTACTCACTATGCCGGGAGCGATCTACCGCTACCGTAGCCCTCAGTCTTGCTCGCGATGAGACCTTCTGTAATTAAAATGAGCTCGCCGCCATTCTCGCCGTTCCACACAACAGCTACGTGATGCCATTGTCCGTCGTTTATGGTCGCATATTCTCTGAACGGCAGGTAGACGTCTTGCAGATCGTGGAAAAGAGATACCTGAACGCCATTGCTGTGCGCTTGCATCATAAGCCTGCGGTTTGTTGGAACGTGTGGCGAGCTGGAGACAAGAGACGTTACATATGCAGACACGCTGTATTACATTTGAAAAGGAAATGACGATGAATAAGCATAAATAAGAAAAGGCATAAATAGGCCTATACCTGACGCCATAAAGAGTGAAGAAAATTCCGGCCTCGTCTCTCTGCGTGAACTGCACCCACATCGCGACAGTTAGACTCTTTGTGGAGCCAGTAAAGAATGGAATGACTTGCGAAGCACTGCTGCGTCCTGGATCGCTGAAGTACAGGTCATAGTCCACTTGGATAGCTGCAAGAATTTAAAATCAAAATTAAAAGAAAGAAAATAATTATTTCTCCGATATCTTTATTAAAAAGAATTTAAAAAAAAAAAAACAATACATTTTCTGCAGTCGTCACCGGTTAGGTTGAACGGACATTGGCAGAAGAATTTGCCAGTGAGATCGATACAGGTTGCTGATGGCGGACAAGAATTCTCTTTGCAATCGATTATATCTTCCTCGCAAGTTTGACCTGACGCAGATAGAAACATATTAATTGAGGTAATTTTTAAAAAATAATTTAGACTAGAACAGAGTTACATTATGGAGATTGTCGAAATAATACCTGTATATCCTGGAGGACATATGCAGGTGAATCCGGGACCTTCGTCGATGCAAGTGGCACCATTTTTGCAAGCGCCAGCTTGGCAGGCGTCGTATTCGTATTGACAGCCGATGCCGGTGTAATCGTTAGGACAAGTACAATTCAGACCAGAGCCAAAATCTTGACAGCGGCCGTGGTGCATGCACGGATTTCCGATGCAGCGTTCCGGCGCCGTTTCGCATTGCTTGCCGTCAGTTCCAGATGGACAGCTGTTGATTAAAAACGTCGTGTAAACAAAACGGATTTATTAGTCGCGTGAAATATTAGTAGGGACGTGTACTTACACACAGAAGTAGTCCAGAAACAGGTCTACGCAGGCGGCATCGTTCTGGCAAGGTTCATTCTGACACAGGCCGATATCTATGTGGCAATACTTTCCGTTCCATCCCATCGGACATACGCATTTAAAACCACCGACTTCATCTCTGCACGTCGCGCCGTTTAGACAAGGATCGGATGCGCAATCGTCAATGTTGACCTCACAGAATGGTCCGGTGTAACCCTCGCGACAATGGCAGATGAAGGTATTGTCGAGGTCGATGCAGCGATCGGTGCCGGCCGGGCTGCAAGGATCGCTCAGACACTCGTCAATCTCCGCCTCGCACTGCAGCCCGACGAAGCCGGGTTTGCACCTGCAGACGAAGCCCTGCAGCTGGTCGATGCACGTGGCTCCATTCTGACAAGGATCCGACGCGCAATCGTCGATCGTGTGCTGGCACTGTTTACCAGTGTAGCCGGGCTCGCAGGTGCAAGTATAGTCGTCAATCTGATCGATGCACTGGCCGTTGTTTCGGCACGGTTTAGACGCGCACTCGTTGATGTTGGTCTCGCATGCCGGACCGGCCCATCCTGGATGGCAGATGCACTCGTGGCTGAAGAGCTTGTCCACGCAGATTCCGTTTAAGCAAGGGTTGCCCGAGCAGAGATCGATTTTCTCGTGACAGCGTTTACCGGTGAATCCGGGCGGGCAGTTGCAGGAGAAATCGGCGACCAGATCGGTGCAATTAGCGCCGAGCAGGCAAGGCCGTTCGGCACAATCGTCGGTGTTGATCTCACAGCTTTGCCCTTCCCATCCTGGCAGACAGTCGCATTTGTAACGGCCTTGTTGAAGGGCTACGCAAGTTGCGCCGTTATTGCAAGGATTTCCGCTGGCTGTGCAAGGATTTATCTGTAAAAAATACAAAAATAAAATTAAAAAATACAAAAGCTAAATTAAATACAAAAAAAAAATTTATTTATATAAAAATTATTTTTAAATTTTGACATTTCAAGATATTTAATTCTTTGAGAAATGGAGAATTTGTTTGATGTTTAAATATAAAATTTATTTGTGATTATATACAGTTTATTTTGGCCCTAAGCCAGACTCAAATATCTGTCTTTATATACTTAGAAAAGAAAAATAAAGACGGATACGTGTCTTAAGTCTCGCTTAAAGGCAAAATAACGTTGGTGCGATTACCGTGCCTTACTCATTTTAAATCTAGTTTCTTCTAATTTTTTTGAAAGAAAAGTCATAAAGCACTTACAGTAATGTCGCAATCAACTCCGGTGTATCCAGATCGGCAGAGACAAGTGTAATTGTTATATCCAGGCTCGTCTTTGCACATAGCTCTCTCCGGACACGTGTCGTTTGTACAGTCCGACTTTTCGTCTTGGCAATTGATACCAGAATAACCATTGGCGCACTGACACCTGTAGCCTTGCGGTAGATCTATGCAAGTGGCACCGTTGTAGCACGGCTGAGACGCGCACTCGTCAATATCGATTTCGCAGCGTCTCCCGGAGAAGCCAGCCGGACAGTAGCAGTGGATGCCGTGTCCCATTGGTACGCAGAGACCGCCGTGCTGACACACGCTGTCGGTGCACTGAACGGGCTTGCACTCTTCGCGGCCCACGGAACCAGGCCCGTCCGTGTACATGTTCGTGGGACACTCGACGCACGTGGTCGCGCCATGCTGAGGCTGGAAGAAGTTTTTGGGACACTGAGCGCAAGGAGAGAGTCCCGTATCCGAATACATGCCCGGCGAACACTTGGCACGGCAACGGTCCCGACCGGGTGCGGCTGGTTGATAGGTGAACGTTCCAGCTGGGCAGGTCTGGCAGTCTTTGCAGCCTTCGGTTGGCGGCGCGCCGGTGTAGCTGTTTCTAGGACACTCGAGGCAAGGCACGAGACCGGTAGGGGAGTACGTGCCGTAACCGCAGACCGGTATACAGTCGTCTATACTCTTTGAGCCTTCCTCCTTTGTGTACGTGCCGAATGGACAGCGCAGGCAGGAACCTTGACGGTCGCTGTTCTGATAGAAGCCTTTCGGACAGGCTGTGCACTGCTTCTGTTTCTCCCCGGCGAAGGTTCCGGCAGGGCAGTGCACTAAAAACATTTAAAGAGCTTTTGCAATCAAATTTGTAAGAAAAATTGTAGGTATATTAAAATATATATATATATATATATATATATATATATATACTACGAAAATATGTCCACTTACGGCAACGAGGAACGTCTTTGGTATCCATATTCAATACTTCACCGATGCTGCACGTAAAGCCCCTGCTGATGGATGATTTAAGGGCACGAAGTGGCGGACATTGATTGCCAATCGCGGAAACGTTCAACAAAGGTTCGATCACCGCGCTCGCATACGGGACTGACAAATCGAAGATCAGGCTTAACGTGGAACCGCAGAAATCGTACAATTGCGGTTGGCGTTGCGCTGGGACGATCGCCAAAATAAAGTCCATCTGAAATTTGTGAAAATTTTATATTGATTTTTTTTTTTTTTTCGTCATTACAATCTTGATTTAATTAAATCTAATTTGACGGAATCAACGTAAAAATAAAATAACAGTCTACTCTATACCTTGAGAACATTCTCTTCGACTAGGAAAGGTATCGATCTGACAAAGGACACGTTCATGTTCACGTTAATAGCGGAGCAACGTTGAGTCAAGATATTATTAAGGTTCGTGTAATGCTGAGACATGAGGTCTTGGTACATTGGCAAACAAGATCGAGAAACAGCGCCATTTGCACGATAATTTACCGAGGCGATTACGTGATAATCGGCCTGTTGCGTGTCTGCAATGTCAGTAGTTAATTATTAGTATCGTCGTCGTTATTTACTTAAAAGTACAGTGGATAAACTTTTTCTTAAAAAATGAGAAACTTACTCTCGGAAACGCAGTCAGGTACCACCGACGAGGGTACCCACCGTTTGTTAACGTCACAACTAAATATTTTTTCGGGCGAACCATCGGTGAATCTGTATCCAGGTTTACAGGTTGCCATGCACTGCCGCCCTTTCTCCCCAGGAATGCAGTTTATACCTCCATTAGCCGGCGGCTTCAATTCCCAATCGACGCAGGGCGTTGCCTGGACCGAAACTTGGAAGTGGCAGGTCGCTCTGTTGCCGTTGGAGTCCGTTGCGTATACCGTGACATTTTCGAAATCGCCGATTCTAATCACCGCGCGTTCCGGCACAAAGGTAATCTTGACAAAACCAGACGCGTCTGTGGCGTTGATGCGTTTTCGCGTCTCATTGAAATTGATGGTGTAACTCTCTTGTCGGTCGATTAGCTCGATAACATAACTCTGAGGACAGCTCAGCTTCGGTGGAGTCATATCTGTGTGACATTAGAATGTTAATTAATTAATTTATTATTAAATTAATATCAATTAATTTAATATATTAATTAATATTACATTTATATCAATTAAATTCACTTACGTAGACGAATTATTATCTAATATTAATTAATATTAGTTAATTTATCTAAGTGAATGTAATGCGATGTCAATTAAAGATAAAATTATAATTAAAGGTAATATTACGCAGAATAATCAATACTTTGATGGGCACATTGAAACGTACGTTATTAAAACATAAATCTATATTTAATAAAATAAAATTAATGTTATAGTAATAAAATTACTAACCCGGAACGGTGATATTGATTTCGCAGATAGCTACGTTGCCGTCGTAATCGTAAGCTACGTATTTTACGACTGTGTCTTCGAAGATTCGAATGGGGGTTCTGAAGCTAGGTGGCTTCACTTCTAATCGGGCAACGCTACCGCTGTTGTCGATGGCGGTCGGCACCGTGAAGTTCACAGGCAACAATTCCCCGTCTGCTCCCTTTTGCACGACTATCGGTTGTTGCGGGCAGTTTTGGAAGACCGGCGGCTCGTTGTCGACGCAAGGCGAAAATCCGTAATCATAACCGAGCAACGGCTCGGTCACCGGTTCTTCGCATCCCATAAGCTCGAATTTCAAACAGGCGTTGTCCATGTAGCTGACAATACCGAGAATCACGAAACGGGCTTGCACGTATTTGGGCAGAGTGATCATCGCCAGTTCGCCGTAATTTCCGGGATCGCGCATGGTCAGATTGAAATTCGGGAAATAGACGACGTAATTCTCACTCTCCGCCTGCTTGTAGAAGAAACGGATCTCCGTAGGTCTGCCGACGATGTCGTTGGTGATCACGCCCTTTACGAGAATCGCCTTCACTCGATAAACGCGGCCGAGATCGACGCTGACGTAGGTGAAGGCTTCCTGCTTGCCGCACCAACCGGTCACTGAGTTCAACCGGATGTTCTTGGCCTCGTAGTTCGGTCTCTCGGAAGTGGCGTTTATCGCTGAATCCGGGATGCGTCCGGAGGCCAAGCCGAGCGGCCTGACGACCTTGCACTCGGGTTCGCGAATACAGACGATCGGTCGCGGACTGATAAGGATGTAACCAGGCCTGTTGCAGCCAAACTGCACTTCCGAGCCTTGCTCGTAGCTACGCGCCACCTGATAACCGTCACTTGGTCTGCCAGGATCCTCGCAGACCGGACCTTCACATCGCAAGTTGCCGAAGTCCCAAACGCCGTTCGCCTGACAACGTACGACGTTGTCATTGCGGTTGGTTTCACCGGCCAACTTGAAGGTATCTTGACAACCGAAGAAGAAGGAGGACTGGTACTTGGTGTCCAGATACTGGCCGTACTCGGCACCGGGCGTGGGAAGCGGTTTGCCACAATCTACGCGAGGACAAGCTGGCTGAAAACCGGAAAGCCAGTAATCAGGCAAGCCAGGTTTGGGGTCGTACACGCACTGTCGGAAACTGGATGTCGCGGTGTTGCGCAAATAGCGGCCGTTGCTGCTGCACTTTAAGGTAACGTTCTGTTTAAAAGGCACCAGCACGCTGGCCTCGTCGTTTCGAATTACAGTGAGACCCTCGTTTTTATCGTCTGGCAGCGATACACATTTTGCGTCTAGAAAAGGTTGAAACACTTTTTACTTATTTTGCAGAACAGGAATATGGATATAAAAAAATATGTATTTTTTATTGCAAGATTAGAAAGACGGAAACATCTTTTTCGCTGAATTATATTGTAAGAATGATAACGATAAAAATTTAAGTGTTTATTGCTCACATTGACATTCGGGAATAGTTCCGTTCCACACGCCGGAAGAGGTACAAATTACAGCCGAAGATCCAGACAGTACGTAACCAAAATTACACTGAAATCTGACAAGATCGCCAAAGTGATGCTGCTCCTAAAACAAACAAAAAATTTTCACATTCTAGAAAAGTTTCACAGCAGTATAATAATTGTAATAATTAATATTTAAATGTTAATAAAAAAAAATTCTCAATATGATAATAACGGACAATAATAAAGCTAATGAGAATCAACGCTAAAGTAGTGCGCAATTATATAATATGTTTAATTTTAAACTATATTTATTAATAAAAAATGTTTTCTTTAATTCTAATTTGAATCATTTTAATAGTATAAAATGTAGTAAGGATATATCCCTGAGTCCAATCGGTGAGCTCAGCCAATAAAAAATAATAATAATAAAACGTTCACGTCGGAATAAAATTATTAATTACAGATGGATACAAATCAAATCATCGATAATTACAGATGGACATAATAAGAAGAAACACGCAAGAGAGCAATATGAATCACGTTACGTAATAATAATACAATTAGAATGAGAATCTGTTCCACCTCCAATTCAAGGCAATAATTTATAATTAAAATTAAGCATATAATTGCGTACTATTTACAGCGCTGATTCTCATTAGCCTTATTATTGTCCAATTAGTATTTACTTGAGTTGACAAAAAGGTTGCATTTTGTAATTTTTATCTTACCTTGGTTGACAATAATTTTCCATTTTCCGGTGCTGTTAACGGCGGACACATCACTGGCACGCACGTTTTATTTCTCTGATATAAATCACCGTCCCTTTCGCCAGTTTCCGATTTCACCAGATTGAAGCCGGCTGTGCCATTGCTCTTGTACAGTTCAAAACCTGTGTTGCACATGCAGGAATAGCTCCCAGGGCTGTTGATGCATTTCTGTTGGCAGCCACCATTCCTAATAGCGCACTCATTGATATCGGTGCATTCAAGCCTGGTACAACCCATTATCTCTAGTTTCATGCACGGCGCACCGATGTAATCTTGTATCCTGAATTTCACGTAGCGCGCTTCGATTGGTACGGGTAAATTCAGAACTGAAAGCGTCGCCTCCAAAATTCTAAACTCCACCGGCGTTCCGTCTGGATTGGTATAATCCTTGAACACGTCTGTTAACTCGTTTGTGTATTGAATCCGCACGGCCGACGCGTACGCAATGTTTCCGTCGATTCTGGCTACAACCTGCGTCCGGAAGCCGCGAATGATCGTCGGTGCCTTCATATCGATCATCGCCCAATTCGTACCCGGCTCGATGTTGTTGCCGCACCATCCGTCGCCATTGTTCAAACGAATACCCTTCGATCATAGAAAATATACAAATAATTATTAATTATTACTGTATATAGAATAATTAATTAATATTATATATAGAATATTAATTATTTAGGAAAAAAAGGTTATAAGATTATCGATAAAAAAATGTTAATATATCTTACAGTTTTCGTATATCCGGTTTCCGAACTGGAGACCGTGATCGATTCATCGGGGATACCGCCATTGATAAGACCAAGGTCACCGATAGGCCGGCACTCCATAGTCGGTGCAAAACCAGGCTTGCACCTGCAAGTAAACGCGCCAGGATCGTTTATGCATTCCGTAGACGCCAGATCGCATTGACTCGATGCGCACTCGTTTATATCTGCAGAAACAAATAGAGGAGAAGTAATCATACATTTTTCGTTATGATAAATAATTTTATATAAGTTATCATTATAAATCTACCTTCGCAAGTCGGCACATTATCAAAGCGTTGATAAGGTCCGCATTGTATGATATTTAATCCAGTCAACTTGTAGCCTCTGTTGCATTGCACCCTAGCTTCATCACCGAAGTAATATTCTTTGCCGGTGTCGACGACAAATCCATTTTTAATCGTAGGTAGCAGCGGACATCTAGCGCCTATTAAAAAACAAATATTGCCGCCGTTATCGTCACTTTAACTTTGAACCAATATTAAATTGATTAATTGGTTTCAATTTTCAATCTTTAACTAACAATTAAAAATTATAAATCGTATAATTATTTTTGATTGAGCAGTTTACTGCTCGACTTACGAGAACACGTCGGCACTTCGTCGGACCAGGTGCCATTGCTCATGCAAAGAATGACGGGATGTCCGCTTCGAATGTAGCCAGGCTCGCACTCGAATCTAACAATCGTGCCGTAACT